AGACTTAAAGGCCACTCAAGGTAAATTGTTATTGTTAAAACGGTAATGAGGAAGAAGGTGTGTTGTATGAATGAAAGAGATGGCAGGAAGTGAAGATTATGAGTAGAAGGAGGAGAGGTAATTATAGACCCTTGATTGCTTTGATTTGTTTTGTGTTACGGCATATCAACCTCAATGGGTTATTTAATGCCGACAAGATTTTTATTGCTGGTAATATTTTTTTCAAAAAATGTTCTGCTGGTATTAAAACGTATTTTTATTTCTTATTTTCATAGTGTTTTGATAGCATTTGGTGGGTAATTATTTGCCCATAGCTGGGACCCTGACAGTTGCTACCACGCCGGCTCAGGGTACACCTTGGAACAACTGCAATTAAGAGGTGGTTTCACGCTCCTCAAAACCTCCTAATCACAGGCCTTGCTTTCGGGCGTAGTTTATAGTCTTACCCAGGACACGAATGTAGTTTACCGTCATACCAAGGACGCGGATGTAGTTTATCGCCTTACCCAGGACGCGGACGTAGTTTATCGTCATACCCAAGACGCGGATGTAGTTTTATCGTCATACCCATGACGGCTGAAGATTTGAAGAGATAAAGATAGAATCGTTCAAAGAAATACCTACGTGCCTGTCTGTTTCACAAAGTAGCATTTTTTTGTTTGTTTTTTAAGAAGCTGTCTGAGTGAAACATTTTACATTTGGAACACGGGGGGAAATGAGTGTGATTCAAGTCTCTGGAAGTAGCATTGCGTGTCCTAACTGTAAATGATTGATCGATTCATTTTTACGGCTTATTAACACATTACAGCCTGAGAGAAGTTTTAATAGATAATAATAGTTTAGTGATACAAGTCTTACTAATTAACCCATAGCTGAGGAGAAGAGATGGGTTCATACTTTTCCCAAGAGGATTTGCGCGTAACGAATCCAACAGGAATTGGAACTCGGCTCTTTCCGATGAACACTTGTGAGCCATTAACTTTACATCACCCACACATCCAAGCTTATAGCACCTGGTATTCCCAACCGGTTATCCATCTAGGTAATGACCAGGCTGATTTACGGGAAACGGCTAATTGTAAAAGTTTGAACAGGTGTAAATAAATAATGGAATCGTTCTGAGCATTTGCCATGGAAATAGAAAAAGAAAATTAACGTTGTGTCTGTCTGGAAAAAGATTACCAATTTGCGAATGTCTTATTCCACAAAGCCGGAAAGTGAGTGTAAAGCAACTCCAAACAGGACAGAAGAAAAAAGTGCTTTTTTTGTCGAATCTGATTCTACTAATGATTTACCATTTTTTTTATCTATATTTTTCCATATGGTTCCTTGTGTTGTTTTCGTTCCTGTCCACATAAGTTACGATTTAAATATCAATTTTGGAAATGTTTTTTTTTTATCTGTCTATATCTCTGGGATGAGGTATTATGATTACTTGCATTATTTACATCATTCATTCTATTATCCTCATCTTGATTGCCATATTCATAACGTTTCGGCCGTTGTACTCTCCGGCCTTCTTCATATGACTTCAATTTTTAGTTTTGTGTTATCTATATGGATAAATACGTTGGTTATATCCAGTGACTCGACCCATTGAGTTGTGAGTCCAATACCAGGACACAGCAGTGGTGAACCAAAGAAATTGGAGAGTTGAGTTAAAGGGAAATAACTGAGATATCCGGAAGAGGCATGGCACGTGGAACTAGAACAATTTGTCCTGGTGGACGAAATAAAGGGTTCATTCGAAATTCCAATCATCTGAAGAAGGTCGGAGCGTACAACGGCCGAAATATTGTGAATATAGCAATGAAGACGGGGATAACAGTCCGAATAATCTAAATAATGTAAGTAGTTATTTTGATCTCTTGATAATGACCTCAGCTATTATACATTTTCAAAAATCGTACACTCTTGTCTATACATAAAAACGAAACGCTCATGTCAAAAGTACGTGAAATATAAGATTCTTGTGATAAAACTATTTGAAAGATGTCGAAATATTTTTTTTATTTAGGAAAACGCCGAATTTGTGGTTCTGAGCAAATGCTACGCTAAGACAACTGTGACGTCAATGACACGTGAATAAAAACGAGATTCCAGAAAAGCCAACATGGAGCCAAAATGTCTCGGACTATTATCAATATTTCTATATTTTTCATGGCTCTTGTTAAAAGATTAACTTCATCGATTGAACGAGCCTATTTGAGGGAATTGGCTTCATTAGATCAAACTCTTTTTATTAGATGAAAGCCATCATCACGTTTAATTAGGATTATTGAAAATAATTTTTTAAAAATGGTTTATAACTTTGGACGTAACTTTGGGGTTGTCTCCCTTTGTATTTCTTTATCAAATTGAGTTTTTAAAAAAAAAAAAAAAATGCCGTTTTTATCTTTATGTCGTTATTTTTTAACCAATATAGTGAGTTAGTAAGCGTAGTTTACATGTGGCACAAGGCCGAAAGTTTGTGAGGACAGAACTCATTACTCAGTCGTAAATGAGCTAGCAAATCAAGCTTGCTCACCATTTCACCACGTTGAAGTACCCATAGTGATGTACAAAGCGGAACTCAGATGTGGCACATAGTGAAAATCGAACTCACTACTAACTGATATATATATAATGAGACCAGCTTGCTAACCATTAGACCACGTCTAAGTGCCCATTGTCTTGAATTTATATGCTTATAGGAAATCAAAGGCTAAAGTTATATATGAAATTACTTCTTATTAATGAAAATATATTATAATTTTTTGCTCTGTCATTAATCAAATTTTAAGTATATATTTAATTATATACATTTTTTGTGAAAATTATTTTTTTGTCTTTCGAGTTATGGTGATTCGATTCTCAGAGTCTTCAACATCATAATCTACAAATAATGGTTCGCAATTTTCGACTTTATTTCGCTAAACAAATCATCACATCCATCTAAACAAAAACAAAAAAAAAATTTGAACCAATTTATGCCAATGCAGTTATAGGCAAATTAATGTCCTTCTACTTATTAAATCTGTGAGACGCTTCAACGGCTTTCAGCTTCATTTGCAACAAATGCCTTAAAATTACCAAAAACTTGTCCACCATTATATCATCGGAAGTAGTGTGCAGGTCGATACTATATATATATATATATATATATATATATATATATATATATATATATATATATATATATATATATATAAATTAATTATTTTTCATAAATGGGTCATGACTCGTAGATTGAAAATCAATGGCGACAACAGACGTTAAACAGAGTCGGAATAAATAATATTGCTCTACTTTATATTGAGGCCTATTTTAAATTAAATGTTACAAACGTTGGAATTGTACTCTATTCGTTCTCATCTTACATATATATATGCGAAGCTCATTCAATAAATAAGGTGAATTTTTCGTTATATGGACTTCTAATACAGATAGAAGCTTACTTTTTTTTTTATTTTTCAATGTAGTCTCCCAGTACGGTCACACACTTTTCCCATCTGTACACAAGCTTCCGTATTCCCTCAGCGTAAAAATCTTTGGACTGATGTCGCTCATAACACTTTTGACTTCATCGTCACTTTTAAACTTCGTGCCTCTCGTGAACGCTTTCAAGGGACCAAACTGGTGAAAGTCTGAAGGGGCAAGGTCTGGGCTGTAAGGGGGGATGAGGGAGCAATTCCCAGCCCAGCTCGTTGATGGTCTGCACCGTTTGGGCTGCTGTGTGAGGCCTTGCGTTGTTCTGATGCAAGATGATATCATGGACAATTTTGTGTGCTGTCCCAACAGATAAGCTCAAAGTCCTTGCAATGTCATCCACTGTCACCCTTTTGTCAGACTGAATGAGGTCATTGACTGATTCGATCACAAATCCACATTATAACCAAAACGTTTGCGGTTTCTCTTTTTTTTTCTTAAAAGATATATTTTCTCTCTTGTTGGAACAGTTATAACCGTTTCACTATATATATATATATATATATATATATATATATAAATAAATAAAAAAATTTTTAGGGTTTTTAGCTTCTATTTTTGAAACATGGTTGGAACTGTGTGTGAAAAAAAAAACATATTTTAAATCAATTAATTTATAATATATATATATATATATATATATATATAGAGAGAGAGAGAGAGAGAGAGAGAGAGAGAGAGAGAGAGATAGATAGATAGATAGATAGATAGATAGATAGATAGATATTAAATTAAACCCTCCCTAAAGTCTACCATGTCTCTCTAACTACCCCTATTACATCCTCTGTTAAATTACAAAAACTTTCACTACCAATCAATTTTCATTTCATTTTTCGTCTCATTTTTGGAAGTGCTATCTGACGATCCGGAATCCTTTAAAAAGGCTCTGGTGAAATAAATTGTTATAATAGAACCTTAAAGTGGTCTGTTTTTCTTTAATATATATATATATATTAGTGGTACTCATTCGGAAAAATCTCGGATAGCTCAACTTGCAGTAGAGCAAATTGGTACCCGAGAAAAATGGGGAATAAAATAAGAATGAACCAAGAACATTAAAACAAGGCGAAAACAATCGTTCAGTGTTTAAGCTCCAAGACCGGCTTTACCCCGAAGAACTGTTTAGGTGACACCTAGGTAGGTTTGCCTGGCTCCTTAGGATTATCTTACATCTATATATATATATATATATATATATATATATATATATAGATAGATAGATAGATAGATAGAGAGAGAGAGAGAGATGTGCGAGTGTATATATATATATATGTGTGTGTGTTTGTGTGTGTGTGTGTAAACGTGAAAAAGATATCTAACACGACATTGTGAACTAACTTCTTTTTGTTTTCACTTTTTCTATTATATTTATATATATTTGTGCCAATGCTGATATAATGAAGGTTTCTTAAGCCTCTTTATTTATCTATTTTTATCATTATGTACGTTTGTTATCATCAATGATTAACCTGTTTTTATTTATTTATTTATTTATTTTCCCAGGCCTGACAACAGACGGTCCCTTGGTTGAAATGCATGGACCTGTGTTTTCAGTGGAACCGCCCAATACAGTAGTTTTTGCGAACACAAAAGGCGCTTCGATTGCCTGTGCAGCATTTGGTGTGCCTGCACCTCGTCTCAAATGGGTCAGGAAGGATGGATCGCCCGTCACCGAAATCCCCCGTGTCGTCTCCGTCCTCCCAAACAATACGCTCTACTTCCCGCCATTTAAGTCAGCCATGTTTCATCCAGACGCGCATTCTCAGGAGTACCGTTGCGTGGCTACCAACAAGGGCGGGAAAATACTCAGCCGACTCTTGCGTGTAACAGCTGGTAAGTAAATTTATTATCTTTCTAATGTACGGAGTGCATTTACAATATAACATTGCAGGTGCTGCCTGCCTAACGCGACCGAATGCAAGTCTTGCAATGTCATTCGACTATTTTCGCTAGTTAGATGGTCGAAGCATATGATTTTGATTGAATGAGCGACTAATTTGTTTTCTACTGTTTATCAACCATTTGTAGGTTACTTAAAGCCAGGAAATATTTTTAGTTTTTAAGAATGTTTTTTGGCGGGGAGAGATAATAATTATTTAGGGATATTAGTCTTAATAATTAACACATGGTGGGTTGGGAAGAGGTGGATTGATACCTAATCAGAATTTAAAACAAACAAGAAATTATCATGTGGATATAAAATTGGGGATCAATTCAATATTATAATCAGTATATAAGCTGATCGCTCACTTTATGACCACAATTGCTTCCATAAATTTATATTCCAGAGAATATAAATAAATCTAAAAGACATGTGATTTTCTGATCGATTGATTCGTTTTCTACGGCTTATCCACCCATTGCAGGTTATTTAAAGACAGAAATATTTTTAGATTGCAAGATTATTTTTTTTTTTTTGTTTTTAGATAATAATTATTTAGTAATACAAGTTTAACCCATAGATGCTGGAGAAAGGGTGGATTTCCTATCATCTAGGTACTGGCCAACCACTTTGTTCCTTTTCTTCGGTGATTGTAAACAAAATGGTGTTCAAGGTAATGTGCCTGTAAGCCCTATGGCTTTGGGACGTCGATTTGTTTTCTTGTTTATTTTATGGCTTATCAACCTTGCCCTCGTTTATTTAAAGCCGACATATATTTTAGATTATAAGAATAATACTTTGGGAGAGTAAATATTGCAATAACAATTCTTTTAGAATAACAATGAATTTCCAGGTACAAATCTGACTATTTAACCCATAATTGGGGAGGAAAAAAAATAATTCCTTTTCCGCGTGTATTTGCGCATATGTAAATGTAATGATCTGGACTCGAACTCGAAATCGGCCCTCCGATTTCTCATTCCGAGCCACTATTCATTGCAACACCCGCACATACAGACATTTGAAGAAGGCCGGACGATAGAACGACCGAAACGTTAGGGTAATTTTTATTACTGTTGCTTCAATTATTATTATTATCATTACACCACCCGCACATCCTCGCTTTGGGACAGTCTGAACCAAAATTTGGACATATCAAAGATGCTTTTTCTATAATCTAACAGGCCAATTATTTTTATTTTTTTACTAGTTTTCATCCAATATTCACCCAAGAGCCACTCAATGCAGATGGTTACAGAATGATGGAATTTCTGTTTACTTTTTAACTAAATCACTAGCTGTCACTGGAGGTTTCCTGTCGGAGGTTTTTGTATAGAAAAAGCATCCATGCTGGGCATTTTACTTCAAAGTAGCTGTCCTGAAGTTCTTACAAATAAAATACGAGGGGAGTAAGAGAGATTTGAACCTGGAGACCTAGGGAGCCGGGTCTTAGTTGTGAGGGTCGAAGCTAAAAGAACTAAAGAATGGAGCTCGTCTGAAAACTTACCACGATAATATCGTTTATATTGGGAGTTTATCTTCTCTCGACTACCCATTATTCCCGAATGCCGTGTTGGTGAGTTAGAGAGCTGAATAATTGCTATTAGTGCTAGTGACTGGGGTTCGAATGTAATTGAATGCCAAGATTATGAATAAAAATAACAAGGCCTCAGTTTACAAGACTATTCCAGATTTGACGTAAAACTAAATATTTTCTAGCAGATTAAACTATTCCGTTTGTCGGAGACGCTTTTGGATGTTATCTATATTGAAAAGCAGCTCGTGTTCATATATGGCAGAAGTACTCCATTTCCGGTCTGATCTGGCTGTTGTAAAAGCAGAGCATAGCACGCGCCAGCTACTAAAAAGAGCGGTAGAGGTCTGGGTTGTTTAAGGCCCAATAGGTGCCCTAGGTATGGAGCATCTCTGAGGGAGCATTCATTCATTGTTATTGGGGATAGTTCACGGATCGATCTGCGATGTTTGGCTTTCGAAGCATTCAATGTAACCACCCAGTTTTTCTTGGGGTATGTACACCATTTTGCAGCTGAAACAAAACGAATAATTCCGCTATTATTTAATTTTTTCGTATTTTTCCAAAGAAACATGACCCAGTGCACATGTTAGTACTTCGTATGTCCATTGCATGAAATCGTTCCTTGCAGATTGACCGCAGATTCTCAATTGAATTTAAATCAGGAGAGTTTCCAGGTCAGACTTTAGTACTTTAATTTGCTCACTGGTAAGACTTGCCATTGTGTTCGTGCAGCGTTACAATATTCGTACGCTTCCTTGGAGTAACGTCCATTGCAGGCAATGGTCGTAGGACAACTAATCGACAGTCGAGACAATAGTGTTTGTGCGTGATAAAAATCTGGTGCAATCACGGATGACGCAATATTTTTCAAGACCAAACAAATTTCATCAAACACCCTGAAAATGGATTCATATTACTGAACGCCACTACAAATGACCTAATCTGAGGAAAAAAAGAAATTGGTAACACACTGTCAGCCCAGTCGGAACATATTGTGAAAGAAAGGCAACTAAATAGGATTTTTAAATTAATTTGCGCAAGGGTGTATATCGTGTCACTTTCCTAAGTTCGTGGTTTGTGCTATAAGATATACTGTTGTGGGAGATGCATTTTGTGGAAACAAACAATTTGGTGCATTTGTTTTTCGCTGGCCGTTAGATGGGTTCGTTTATCGTTGTCGATACTTCCATATTCCGTAATGATAGTGTTATGGGACCTTACCCATAATAACATAATGGACTATTCCATACGTAATAAATACTGCGCCTCAAGAGGAAGCAGGTAGTTCAGTCTGAAGTCTGGAGTGATGTCCGTCAGGAGTCTGTCAGTCAGTCAGAGCGAGCGAGTCAGTCAGTTGAGTCAAAAGCAGACCGAAACAGAGTCGCGTTCAGACAATTACTACTAAACCTGATTGTTCGTACTAACACTTTCTACTTCTCTGTATATATTCCTGTTTGTAATATATCTGTGTTATTCCTTATCCGTGTTCGAGTTCTTCTTTATTGGTTCTACCTTGGACTATCACCGTGGTACAAGGAACCGGACCATAACAGATAGAAAAAGGGGTGTGTAGTCGCGCCGGATGAAAAGAACGTGGAATTTTGTTGTAAAACCAAAGTAAAAGGTATTTCACTAGTCACGCCCATTGTTAATATGGCTTCAGAACTGATCACAAAGTTCATTCTGCACGACACTAATAACAACATTGTGACTCGTAACGTCTTAAAGGCTATTCGTCTGTCAAATGTTTCGCTCAAATAGATAAATCAATGAATTACAAAACACGTTAGTCTACAGACACAGAGGCGTGCACAGAGAGCCACATATACAACTATCTATATCAGACTGTTCATATATATACAGATCTATCTATCTATCGACTATGCTTGTCTGTCTCTCTCCACACACACACACACATATATATATATATGTATGGGAAGATAGAAATAGATTTATACATAGAGGCGCATAGGTCCATATATATATATATATATATATATATATATATATATATATATATATATATTCCAAACTCTCTCTTGAGAAAGAAAGTTTAAAATTACTTAATTCGTCTCAATTTTGCATCCCGATTAGATGCTATTTCGCTGTTCGTAGCATTTACTTTAAAAAATATTATTTAATTAATCACTATCGTCTGAAGAGGTAAAATGTAGTAGCGAAACATGAAAGCTATTATGTAGCGATATCAATATGTTTTTATTATATCTCATAATAAAATAATAATTATATATATGTCTGTATGTGTCAGTGTGTGTGTGTGTGTGTATTTATGGGCGTGTGTGGGCGTCTGTCTGCGTGTAGAAATAAGCTAAATAAAGTGATATGATCATCCATATATTCGCGCAATTATTTACGCATACAGGTGAGTAAATAATATTTTTTTATTCAATGGTGGAGACACAACAGCTCTCAATTTAGTTAAACAACGTTATAAAGTATATATTAGTAAATACACATATACCTATGTTTGCAGTACGACTCATTGAAAGGCAAAAACTATATATATATATATATATATATATATATATATATATATATATATATATATATATATATACAGTATAATATAAAAGGCTCAAAAACTAATATTTCATGGTTATATATATATATATATATATATATATATATATATATATATATATATTATTAGTTATTACATACAAACATAGAAGGTACCACTACAAAAATGCATATTTGTTTCGATGCCTAATTCAAGCATCCCATCAGGTGGTGATCAAAGACGGTTTTATATATATATATATATATATATGAAGAAATATACTCTTAAGGTGTGCTATATTTATAAAGTGCACAATATCAGAGATAGAGCGTTTGTAAATATAAAATTGAACATTGAAGTCCACACTTAGAGGTGACAGGCGAAGTAGATTTTCTAGAGGTTACTTTCGAGCTAAGAAAGCGCACTTATAAACCACACAGAAAACCCAATGATAAACCACTCTACATACATATATCTTACAATCACCCGCCTTCTATAATCAAACAGATACTAAAACCGATTAACCGCAGGATTTCCGACAATTCCTCAAATGAATCCATATTTAAAAAAGCTAAGAAAGACTACGAAACAGCCCTAAAAGATAGTGGATTCCCATCAACACTCACATATTCACCACAAAACACAAAAAAGACCAACAGGAAAATAAATATCATATGGTTCAACTCACCGTACAGCAAAAACGTAAAATCAAACGAAGTGAAAATATTCTTCAAACTCTTACACAAACACTTCCCGGAATCAAGCACCCTAAACAAAACATTCAACAAAAACAAAGTAAAAATCAGCTACAGTTGCACCGAGAACATGGCACAAATAATAAAAAAGCACAACAGGAAAACTATCAACAAACCACAGGAACAAATTAAACCCACGTGTAACTGCAGAATAAAGAACGAATGTTCCTTAAATGGTAATTGCTTACAAAACAACGTAATATACAAAGCCACGATAAAATCACCAGATAATGAAGAAAAAGTATACAAAGGAGTAACTGAAGGACTCTGGAAACAAAGAAATTATATATATATATATATATATATATATATATAACCTCAGAGGTTTATTTTTTTCTGTTTAGGATTGGGTTTCCGGTTTCTTCTAAAGTCTTCTTGTTCACTTTCACTCCCCTTAATCCCTTGCGCCTTAGTGGAATTATCATTAACTTTTTGTTTAATTGCTTTGAAATAACTTAAGAATGATTGTTTACAATTGTTAGTGCTTAGAGTTCATTTTTTACGAGAGGTCCAAAAATGTGGCCTCCTGGATAACTTCTGGTATATATAGGTAATGATTATTTCATCTTTTACAGTTGTAGTTGACAAAGATAACACATACAACGTCCAACTGAACAACGTCTGGGTGATGCGTGGGGGTACAGCCGTATTAAAATGCCTCATCAACCCGCATTTCGTCAATGAGTATATTAAAGTTACCGAATGGACACAGGGTTCAGTATCAATCACCAACAGTAAGTAGTATGATTTCTTTCACTTATTATCTCTATCTATAAAAGGCAGGATGTGCGTGTGTGTGTGTGTGTGTGTGTGTGTGTGTGTGTGTGTGTGAGAGAGAGAGAGAAAGAGAGAGAGACGAATGCATGGCCGCAATTTTTGACGGATTTGCTCCAAAATTTACATGCACATGCTCTAAGTTAGCGGAAAGGCCAAGACCGACTTTGCATTTCCCAACTCCCATCGATAGTGGAAATAATCGATTTTTTCATGCTTCTACTGCATCTCTCTTTACCCTCCATATATATCATCTGAAGAACGTCGGAGCGTACAACGGTCGAAACTTCCTGAATATGAAAATAAAGATGAGGGCACCATTTACCTAGTGCAAATAGTTACACCAAGCATATTTTTCGCTTTAATTTTCCATAAATGTCGAAAAATCTCAAAATCATTCTGGGGCCTTTTTGAGACAACTAAACCTGGCAACATTTAATATTGTTCGGGTAATCTCTATCTATAAAAGGCAGGATATGTGTGTATGTGTGTGTGTGTGTGTGTGTGTATAACGATTGCTCGGCCGCAATTTTCGACGGATTTGCACCAAAATTTACATGCACATGCTCTAAGTTAGCGGAAAGGCCAAGACCGACTTTGCATTTCCCAACTCCCATCGATAGTGGAAATAATCGATTTTTTCATGCTTCTACTGCAGTTTTCATGTAGTTTGAGGCCATTTTGTACTGGCCAGAGTGAGAGCTGGCTTCGACGAATGTTTTGCTAGTATGCAAAAAAATCGATAGCTGCATTCGTCACAAGTGGGAAAAATTTAAATCTGCATGGCTCTTTATTCCAATTGGCCCATTCGCTTGCTTAAACTCAACATTGATTCTGATTCCGCAGAACTGGGTTGGGTGTGTAAAAGTATTTGTTGTTAACATTCTTTTTTCATTCGGTTTTTATAGTTACGAGTCCTTTTTTAAAGCTGATCGTTTTGTGTTCATTTTGTTTCGTTCTTTTTTCATAACAGATTTAATGTTTAGTATAGAGCTTAGAAAAAATTCGCAGTGTGATATAAGCAAGAAGTAAGGCCTGTAGCAACATCAGCATGGCAAAGGGCAGTCATTTAAAGGCAAGGAAGGGCAAAAATATTTTAATTCAAGTGATAGCGATTGCTGTATAAGTCGTACGATTATTTGAATCAAACACGGGCAACGCCGGGCCATCCTGCTAGTTCTTGGGATAAATTACACAAGACTTCTTGCTTATTAAAGAATAAAAATAAATGAAGATTCTGATTTGTTTATAGATTCAGGCAAGTATCATACCTACTTTTATTCCAATTCTAGATCATTATAAAAAATAATAGATATTATATTTTATATGTATTAATATTTCAAGCTGTCCATTTTTTAGACACTCGAATTTCCGTGACGAGTAATGGCGAACTCCAGGTACGAGATGTCAGCGATGTTGACCGAACTTCTGCTTACCGATGCGTGACCAAAAATATTCTTACATTAGACGAAATGACCAGCCCTCCGGCCTACATTCATGTTTATGGTGAGTCGAAATTTCTTGGACGTTTTATTAGTTAAGTTTTTGGCATACTTAAAAAATGGCAGAGGCTTTCTTTTTTTTTTTTTTTTTGGCGGGAGGGGACTTGTACGCCAACCACGCGAAGCATAATGGATGCGCTGTTGTTGATTTTCGACGCGGGAAAATACGCAGTGATAAAAAAAAAAAGGGGGAAAATGTTTGAGAAAGTGTCAAATTGATTTCTTTTATTCTTCTTATTTTTTGTGTCCCTTTTTTCATCTCCTTCAGTTCTACTTTCTTTTTTTTCTCTTTCTTTCTTTCTCTCTTTCTTTCTCTCTTATTATTTTCACTCTCACTCTTTCTTTATTGATTCATTCCTTCTTCTTTTTCTTTTTTCTTTCCACCCATCTTTCTACTTCAACTTTCCGATATTCTTTCATATTTCCTTCTTTATCTTATCCATTTTGGCTTTTTTTCTTTCATTCGTTTTTTTTTCCTTTCCGTCACGGTTTTTTATTCCATTCCCCATTTTTTATCAACCATTCTCTTCCTACTTTTCTCCTACATTATTCTTCCACCCTTTTTTTGTCTTTCTTTTCTTCCTTTTCAATTCTTTTCTTCCTTTCTTTCTTTTTTTTTCCTATTCTTTCTTCTACTTTTTCTTTTCCCTTTTCAGTTCTTCTCTTTCTTTCGTTTTCAATTCTTTCTTTCCTTCCTTCTTTTAATTATTCTTACTTGGCTTATGGCTGCATCCTGTTGAAACACCTGTCCCCGAAGGATCACCAAAGTTAATAAATGTCAAGCCTAGATGGGTGACAACTTGAGAATATTAGGTGCTGTAAGCTTGGATGTGCGGGTGGTGTAATACATAATAACTCGTAATTGTTAATCGGTGAGCCGAGTTCCAATTCACGTTGGATTCGTTATATTGACTTACGTGCAAATACAATTGGAAAAGGTATGAATCCACCTATTCCCCAACTATGGATTAATTAGTAAGATTTGTATCACTAAAACCATTATTATTTCGAACACTAAAAATAAAACTGCATACATATATTTAGATTTCGATATTAAATCACCCATAGAGATTTAACGTTATGTCGTTAGATAAAAATCAATCAAAGCAAATATATTTTTATTCTATTATTGCTTTTTCATTTTTCGGTTCTATTTTTTTTTTTTTTTTTTCTATTTTTTTGCTACTTTTATTTGTTTCTTTTTTCCATTTTCTTTCCTTTCTTTTTCTTTTATTATTTCATTTGTAGTTCATTTTTCAAATCTTTCTTTACTTTCTTCCTACCCTCATTCATTCTTTTACTCTTGCTTTTTTCCTTTTTCAATTCATCCCTTCCTTTCTATTTCCTATCCATTTTTTTCTTTTTCAATTATTTCCTTACTTTTTCCTTTTTTCCTTGTATTTTTTTTCTTTTTTTTTTTTGCAGCTCTTTTCAATTTCTTCTTTTCCCTATTCTTTTTTTTATTTTTAATTGTTCTTTTATAAGTTTTTTCTTTACTTCTTTTTTCTTTTTCCTTCTCTTCTTTCCTCTCACGTATTTTCTTTCACTCTGTGCTTTCTTTTATCCCTCTTCCTTTTTCCTTCTCGCTACGATTTTCATTTCTTACATTTTCATTTTCTTTGTCCTATCCACCATTCTCCCTTCTCATTTTTTTTCTTTTTCATTCAATCTCATTCGTTCTCAATTTACTTGACATAATATTAACAACCGTTTACTACGGCACTGTTATGGACTCAATTTTGGGCATGTTAACAGATGCTGCATATGGGTTCAACAAGATCAAAGAATCAAATCTCGCTTGTTATCACGTTGATACTATTTAGACGAGATTTTAATTCAATGAATATATTGAAATGAGAAGAATATATTTTTAAGTGAGAAGATGAAAAAAGAAAAACGTAGCAAGCGAATTCTAAAAGCCACTTGCTATATACATCTGAAAAAGTTTCGAAGCTTCAACAAGATCAAAGAATATAATCTCGCTTGTCATCACGTTGATACTACTGACACGAGATTTTAATTTTCAATTCCGATACAATTCAACCGAAAATGCTCTGTTCGAAACTGAAGATGAAGAAAATTGTCTGGAGAATTTATCGAAATACAAATGTCGACAATTGTAAAGAATTTTTTATTTTTCATTTCAGATCCTCCAGCAGTGTCGAAAGCTCCAAATATTGAAAAGTCCCTGTCGAGTCTTACCGCGGAGGAAGATTCAAAAGCAGAACTTCCGTGCGTGGCCACCGGAAATCCACTCCCTCGTTACGAATGGTCCAAAGGTGGTCAAATGGTCAGAATTGATGGGAAGAAATTTGAACAAAGGGGTGGAAATTTGCTCATATATAATCTGACAGTATTTGACAGCGGTGATTACAAGTGCAACGCTCAAAACAAAGAAGGAGCAAAAAGTGTCTACATTCAACTGATCGTGACATGTAAGTAGTTCCCCCCCCGCGTTTTTATACTTTTCTATACAGTATTATGCATATCTTTCTTTTTCTTACCCCTTATCTCCCTCTCTCTCTCTCTCTCTCCCTCTTTCCCTCTCTCTCTCCCTCTCCCCCTCTCTCCCTCTCTCTCTTTGTGTCATATAATTTTTGTATGAATGCGATCACAATCCTCCACAGTTTCCTTTCTTTTGTGGCTTAAGTGATTTTTGCTCCTTTTTAATACACGTTCCTCCATCCATTCGGGGCTTTCGGCTACGTCACGTTGAAACACTGATTGGCGTACGATGACTGAAGTTAAGCAACATCGAATCTGGTCAGTACCAAGAGGAGTGTAAACTTAGGTATGCGGGTGGGGTAATGGATAATGTCTCCAAATTGTTGATTGGAAAGTCGAGTTCCAATTCCAGTTGGGTTCGTTGTATTCACTTACGCGCAAATACCCTTGGGAAAGGTATGAATCTATCTCGTCTCCTTATCTATGGGTTAATTAGTAAAACTTGTACGATGAAAACCATTATTATCTCAAAAGAAGAAATAAAATAAAATTGCGTATAAAATATTTTGATTTTGGCATTAAATAAGCCATAAATGTTGATGTGCCGCTTAACAAGTCAACCAACCAACCAATTCAACTTTTCGGAGGTACCTAAGTATAACTAATCATTACTACTAAAATGTGAGTTAGTACCTCACTTGACATGCTGGTCTTCTGCGTGAGATTCTAGGCTACAGTATTACAGGAAGACTATTTGATTTAATCCAATGATTTCTTTCAAATCGTGAAATGAATGTAGTTCTGAACGAGCAGAATCCTTCCCTATGAATGCGGGGGTCCTCCATGGCTCTCTCCTGCGTTTTACACACTTTCTGATTTTCATCAATGATTTCCTGATGCCATCAACTCCCAAGTAGGCATCTATGTAGATTACACTACTATCTACTCTTGTCTCAATAGTAAACGCAGCAGCGCTGCTCTCAAAAGAGGTCTTCGATCAGTGGTTAACTGGGGTAGGAAATGGCTTGTGAATTTTAATGCCTACTAAAACGAAACTGCTCTCATTTAGCCGCCACAGAGATAATTCCCTATCCGCCATCAGCATGGTTGATGCTGAAATCCAGAAGAGTGTCTCTCTGCGCATTCTTGGCCTTAAGCTTTCGAATGACTTAGTGGAACAACTATATTGAATCAATAGCTGTGTCTACTGAAAGGAAAGTTGACTCACTGTGTCGTGCCAGAAGATTTTTCTCATCAGAGTCCATCTTACATATCTATAAATCAACCATTCCTCCGTGCATTGAATACAGTTGCCATATCTGCTCTGGTGCCCCAGCTATTCATCTCAAGGCTCTCGACAAAATCCAAAGATGGATCTGCAATGTAATCGATCTTGACTTAGCATCTAAAACTCTATTAACTTTTTCACAGACGTGACATGGCTTCTCTCTCTCTTTTCTGCAAATATTTCCATGGCTACTGTTCTCAAGCTTTTTTCCATTGTGTCTCGACTACATATATTTAAGCGTGCTACTAGACTGGCATCTAGGTCCCACCATTTTACCATTGAAATAGTTGAATGTAACCGCCATTTCTGCTCCCACGGCTTCTTTTCTCGCACATCCATCCTGTGGAATTCTCTTCCGTTTACTTGCTTCCCTGATAACTACAATCCTCAAAAATTTTAATGCAACGTCAATCGCCATCTTCTTATGTCATGAACCCGTTCATCTTTTATCGTTTCCTCATTCGCCCTATACACAGTTTTTCTCTCACCTCCAGTCTATGTAACACCCTGCTAACTAATGGCACTACCATCTTTCTTGGGGTGAAATACTTAAAAAAAGATAGATAGATAGATAGATAGATAGATAGATAGATAGATAGATAGATAGATAGATAATCACAAGCAGGACAACTAGAGACAGAAGTATTAAGAGATTGAGAGTGAAAGAAATACATGAAAGCCAAACCCGAGAGACGGATAAAGACAAGGAGTGTGGGCAAAAGTGGATCAGAAATAGGCGCGCCATTTTGAAGAACAGCAACTCAAGTAAAAGTCGGTCACATGACGCCTGCGCTATGCGAAAGAATTCAGTTTCCTACCTTCTGTAAAAATGATTTCTTTTCCTCACGGGAATTCTTCGATTTAGGAAAGCAGGAACCACACAGCTTCTCTAATCTAAAAAGATAGAGATCAGATTGTTTTTATGGCACTGAATCGACCAGGTCGAATTTCAAGCCCTTCAGATCGACGGTCAATTTTCTTGGCAAACTGAAGGCGAAGGGAGATTTCTTTCTTTCCGGATAGAGAGAGGCGATAAAAATAAAGAACAACGAAATTAAGAAAAAAGCACAGTGAGTGAAAGAGTCTAGATGGGGGTAAGTCCGTCTAAAGGATTCCAGGCAGATCATGGTTCTGGAAGTCGCAAGATAAGAACGCTGTTTAGCTTTGCCAAAAGAGCCGTTCACTGACATGAGTAGCGTTTAGTTTGCAACGGACGAACCGGATGCGAAAGAGAAAATGGAAGACGGATTGAAAAGCAATTACAACGAATATTTGAACACGTGAAATACTATACTTGATTTCGAGCAATTTTACTAGTATACCTTAAAACTATATTTTTGTCATATATATATGTATATATATAATAAAAAGGCTTAAACACTAATATTCCATGGTCATAATTTATTCCATTGGAATCGTAAATATGATCCAATTCATCAGACCTATAAATTCAAAAAGAAAACAGAAAAAACTCGGGAAATAAAAATAGAATTCAGAGAGTGTGTAAGTATGAGAGTGTGGGACGAATGTTAGAGCTAAAGAGAGGGGTAACATTCGAGAGAAGGTGGGAGATTAAAACTTAACAGAGAGGAGTTTTAGAGAGGTGAGTTGAAGACGGTTTAAGTGAGAGAAATATGTCGGATGTCTAATACATTAAAGATGTAACCGGAAAGGATAAATTTTGTGGTGACATACACACACACAGTATAGACGATCTAATCTTAAAGATGAGAAGAAGAGGGAGTGAGAGGAAAAGAAAAGAAAAGGGGTGGGGAGAGTATATATATATATATATATATATATATATATATATATATATATATATATATATATATATATATATATATATATATATATATATATATATATATATATATATATATATATATATAAAAACGTATAGAAATACACAAACATAAGCACATGCACACACACGCATATATATATATATATATATATATATATATGTGCTTTATGTTTTGTGTATTTCTATATGTTTTTTATATATATATATATATATATATATATATATATATATATATATACGATAAAACTATAGTGTTAAGGTATGGTATATTTATGGGTTAATGTGCTCAATGTCAAGGACAGAGACTATATAAATATGAAAGTACACACACATACGTATATATATATATATATATATATATATATATGAGAAAAATATTGTTTTAGTTATACAATATTTATGAGTAAAAGTGCTCAAAATCAAGAACAGATAAATAAAAAAAACTGAACGCTTTTGGTAACTTAAACCGAGAATTCAACCAAATGACGTATGATAAAAATGTAGGATTGGTGTGGACGGAATAAAATTACAATGACCAAAAACACTGACCGGGTGTAACAGCAAAATCGTCCAAATCGTGTAACAACAAAATTGTCTAATTGTTAGATTAAGCTCAAAATCGTTGTATCTTAGAAATGCTTAAAGATATCTTACTGGAATTCTCTGAGGTTTTTATAACACTATTGCACTTTATGTTGAGCAATAAGAATGTATAATTATTCTATACGCTTAACAGAAATATCAGGATGAAATCGATCATTACTCTATACGCTTAACAGAAATATCAGGATGAAATCGATCATAAACGAAAATAAAATTTTCTTCATTAATTGATCATAGCTAAGGATCAGAAATTAATGCAATATTGAAATAAAGTCTAAATATATATTTATTATTCCAGGATTATTTTCCAACTTATTCAAGATAATCTTCGCCCTCTCTAACCTTCTAACTTTCTGTCCTGGAGTACAAAGTTGCCTCACAGTTTTCATGTATGATTTCATTTTAAAGTCTTTTTTCACTGCTCTTTGAACTGTCATAGGTGAAACTCTCTCACGTGCCAAACGTCTTATGGATTGAGGTGGATCTTTTCTTATTGATCTCTTTAGCTTTAAGTTTAAATGATGATCCCTCTTCCTGTTGTGACCTCCTGATCCAGTTTACCTGTCTACTATTCCATCTTTTTAAACTTATTCAGCGTTCTCTTGATGTTTCTTGAATGGACTTTGAGGATGGAAAGCAGAATATGAATGTTGGCATCATCACTTAAGGCTTGAATTATCTTTTTTCCTCTCACCATTGGTCAGTTGGGAAGACAGTGGATCTGACACAAAAACTATTTTAACCTGCTCTCATTTTAGATGAATAACTCGAAGGGTCTTTCATTGCTTCTTACGAAAACTGGTCTCAAGGTGGCCGAACATCTTATTTGTAAACCTGGAAAAATTGAAACTCAATAAAGATAAAAAGAAGATATTAAATATTTTGTGTGATGGATAATTATGTCGTTACGATTTGGACAAATTTGCTGTTACGTGTATAGACACACACACACACACACACACACACACACACACACATATATATATATATATATATATATATATATATATATATATATATATATATATATATATCCACTCTCCGGTCGAATTCGACTTATGAGTGTCAAGCATATCAGTTCCCAGGAAACCGACAGCCCGACAACAGCACGTGAGATTTGATTATAGTGGTGAAGGTTTCGTGCAGGACCGTTCACACTTTTGAAAGGCCGAATACAGAGACCTGGTGCACAATGTGCCACAACGTTCCCAAACGACCCTCTTCAGGTTTTGAATTATATATATATATATATATATATATATATATATATATATATATATATATATATAGCACGCTTTATATAGCACCTTTCGCCAACACTTTTTTCAAACGTAATCTTAATTATACAAAATTAAAATTGAACAAGGATGAAAATAAGTAGTTCCACAAGAGTATAAAATAGAAAAAGGGGAACTTACAAACACTCCAACAGACGCAAGGAACGTAAGAAGTGTTCCTTTTGTCTACACAGGACAGGCTGTTGACACTTAATAAAGACAGCTTCAGAGACTCGAAGATGATGTGTTGAACGAACACTGTGTAAAACTGAAAACCGCTTGTCTTTGTATTCGGAGGCACAAGCATGATTGTCAAGCAAATGTTGACCGATTGCAGACTCATGGACTGCCTGAGTAGTTCTTCTTATAGGCTGACTAATAGGCTGATATATATATATATATATATATATATATATATATATATATATATATATATATATATATATATATATATATTTAAAAACAAGGAATGCATTGATTTTAATTTTAAAAGTCTCTAGGGCCCTTTCAGCCAACATCTCATCAGAAGACAATCGTTGGATCAGCGAAAAGAATATTAACGATAATGAAGAGCAAAAAGAGGGGGAAACACACTATATATATATATATATATTAAGTAATTAAACACAAACTAATATATATATATATATATATTAAGTAATTAAACACTAACTAATTATAAGTAGAATATTTCATTATAATTTGTTAATGGGTAATATTCATCACATAGAATATTATATAGTGAAAATTTCAGATCAAAATACAATTATTATATAAAGGTGTATTAAATAACGTTGTTGCTCAGAACGTTCGCTTTATGATCATAAGACTCGGATTCGAATCTCATCGTGGTCGATTTTTCAGAAAAATGACTTCTTGAAAATATCAGACTGGGATGGCGATCCCAGCGTGCAGCACAATTGTCTGAAAATCACAGGCTGACACAAGCCTTGTAAGTAAAATTGGATAGCCAGAACTATTCCATCAATGGTTGTGCTAGCACGAAGTCACAAGTCATCGTGACCGAAGGTTTGACTGTTGTAGCCTTGTTCAGACTCCTGACCACGCCAGATATTGTGCTCGCTCCCAGAAAATGTAGCTCAGATCCGCTCAACATAGTTGCAGTATAAGACTCAGAAGACCTTTGTGGGTGTTAAAAATACACAAATGTGCCTTATCAGGCGTCTGCAATAGGAATTGGTTAACCTCCCTAGAAAACAAGTGTACACGGATACGAGACGTCTGCCGTTATTATTAACTCACCTGGACGTTATGGAAAGTGTGAATTCTAACGACACTAGATAATCAATAATCATGGTCGTATTTTGTGACCGACTCCATTTGAACTTGGTATTTGTATGGCGAGGTTTGCTGCATGTTGCTCTCTGTTTTGATCACTAACCCACCCACTTCTTTGCTTAGACTTAGAGTCGTCATATCACAAAGAGAATATTTCTGGGGATAGGAGAGGAAAATTGATGATTCCGCATCGAACATTACAGGCTTCCATATTAAATTTGTTCGGGAAAATCAATCAGTACTTGGCGCATTCGAAAACAAGGAAACAAAATAAAAGCAATATTCAGCAATCAGTAATTAATAAAATGCAAACGTGACTGACAATAACGAATATAAATACACAAACATAAGCACCCAACCACAGAGACAGACATACAAACACACACACACATATATATATATATGACAAAAATATAGTTTTAAGGTATAGTATATTTATGGGTAAAAGTGCTCAAAATCGAGGATAGGGCGCAGGTAAATATAAAAATGGACACTTTTGGTAAATTAAACCGATAATTCAACCAAATGATGTAGGATAAAATCGTATTATATATATATATATATATATATATATATATATATATATATATATATATATATATATATATCATGATGGCTGAAAATATCCAGACATTGTACAGTTTATAATTAAACTTACACCGGAAATCAAGAAAATAGTCCAAAATACTGAATGAATAAACTGAAAGATCAATAACAAATAATTTATTTTGGTCAATAAATAAACGAAATATTACTGCCCAAATGAAACCATATATATATGTGTGTGCGTGCGTGTGAGTGTGTCATAGACAGGCAGATATGAACAGGACTAAAATAAAGGAATATAAATAGGCTGTTAGTACCAGAATAAATATGAAAGAATGCGAAAAAGTTATGAGATCATAGATATTACTTTTAGCATACCCTTCTTGATAGATAGATAGATAGATAGATAGATAGATAGATAGATAGATAGATAGATAATGAACAGACTTACATAGATAGATAGATAGATAGATAGATAGATAGATAGATAAGGAACAGACTGAGATAGATAGATAGATAATGAACAGACTGAGATAGATAGATAGATAGATAGATAGATAGATAGATAGATAGATAGATAGATAATGAACAGACTGAGATAGATAGATAGATAGATAGATAGATAGATAGATAGATAGATAGATAGATAGATAGATAGATAGATCTTCATGAGATGTACATTAAATCATCCACTGCTTTGTTTGATAACACGATTAAAAACGTTACTATTCTTATTAATTTCTTTGAGAAACAATTTCCATCTGTCAATATCGACAGCCGATTTCTTTGGAAAACGGCTGTCAATTTGCATGTATAGATCATACATTCCGGTTAGATCGCGCTTCTCACGCAACGAGATATGACGAGATTTGGTTAGTTGTATAGTTTTTGCAATTCTAGCGATCAATATCAAGAGATATAATAAAAATAATAAAATAATAATAATAATAATAATAATAATAATTCTTTGGCCATTAGCTCACTTTTGATTCATCATCATTTTGTGCATTTTGCACCGCCGTTGTTGTCACGATTCACTTCATCTCACAACTGTGATTCAAAGAGACATTCAAGGCAGAATGTTACAATGGCTTGCCGGTTCCTTTTGCACGGCGGGGTGGGGGTTACCCCGTCCCTCCAGTCAAAAGTTTAAGGTAGGGCCTACAAGGCAGCAAGTGGTTTGAATTCAAAGTTTTCATTCTGGTTACCAATCAAGGCAATAGAACCCAGTCTTTACTGCTATTTATCCATAGCTGGAGGTGGAGAGATGGATATATACATTTCCCAAGATTATTAGCACGTAAATGATTTTAATGAACTCGACTGGAATTCGACCTAGACTCTCAGATTCCTTAATCCGAGCCACTATCTATTACTCCACATTATCTCCCCTATTTTTCCATATGACCCGGGGTCGAATCTCACCGTATTCGAATAGTCAGGAAAGTGATTCCCTGATGTTATCATTCTAGGAACGTAATCCCAATGTGTGGTACCGCTGGAAATTGCTTGAAATCTATAGAAGAGTTTCACTCAAGCCTTGTGAGTAAAACTAAATAACTGCTTGGAAGATGTAAATGGTTGTGAAGTCGCAATGAGTTGCGACCCACGGTTTTTGTGCACTGGCGTTATTCAAAGTTCTCATCGTGACAGATTATGCACCTTAAATTTAAACTGTAATTAAGTACCAGTCAGCATATTTGCAGTATAAAACAGAGGTGTGCTCAATAGGTATTGAACAAAGACAAATGTGCCCGAGTAAATATCTGTTATATAGACATAGGTTTAAGAAGATGTCTAACGAAACCTTGAGCATGGGCGCAGTATTGCCCAAGGAAAAATTCATTCGAGGTTCCAATCAGATTTGTGCTGTGAAGGGCCGAACAATTCAGAGCAACCTGCATCTGATCTGCACGATCGTAGAGGGTGTAAAAGACAACGAGAAAACCGCGTTGATCATTTTGGATCAGTCCAAGGCATTCGATAGGGTCGACCATCGGTACCTAGGTGTTATACTGCAGGCCACCAGATTCAAACCCGAATTCTGTAGGTGGATTAGCCTCCTGTATCGCTCCCCCTGTAGTGTGGTTCAGGTGAACCGAAAGCGGGTTTCGTCAGTGTCGTCCGTTGTCGCCCCTACTTTAAGCTTTGGCGTTGGAGACACCCTTTCGCCGGCTGCGGGGATTGACTTACATTTCTAGTAGACGAATGGGCTTTGAAAATGTTTAACCGGTTTTATCGGTAACAAAGAAAAGAATACTGAAATATTACGTGACATCTGTTCTTCTTTACGGCAGCGAATTTTGAACGATTTTCTCAAGGATGAGGAAGAGACTCGAGGCCACGGAGATGTGGTTCTACAGAAGGATGCTGAGGATATCCTGGACCGAGCATGTGAGCAACGATGAGGTCTTAGATAGGTTACAAACAAGAAGGTTTATACTTAACATCAGAAAGAGACAGCTGAAGTTTCTGGGACACATACTGAGGAAGAAAGGCCTGGAAAACTTGATACTCACGGTTACTGTAATAAATGTTAATATAGTAAAAAGATCGTAAAAACAAATAGTAAAAAATAGTAAAAAAAATAATAGAAAAATACTATTTTTTACTATATTTTTAAAAAGTATCAGAAAAAATAGTGAAAATAGAGGGAAAGAGAGACAAGGGAAAGCAGCGTGTGACATACCTGACGAGCTTGAGCAAGTGGATGACAGACCGTGGTCTGGGGGAGGAAGCAGAGGGAAGGAACTTGCTTAGAGCTACAAGGAATAGAGGGGGGTAGAGAGCCATGACCGCTTACGTTCTGAAAGAACATGGCACATAAAAAGAAATCTGTTGATCACAAGTGTTAGTATGATGATACATAGTTCAATTCTTAACTATATTTTCTCAGATTTACTTTGTCTATTTTAGCTCCTCTTTTGGCGTACCTCTATCCGTCGGACCAAATTGTCGATGCTGGTCATAATGCGACTTTCAACTGTTCCATTCGGGGATCGCCGATCAAAGAAATCATCTGGTACCACAATGGCAAACCACTCACAAATAGTAATCGAGTGCATACTAAACTTGGCACCTGGCTGAAAATCCCTGCAGTCAACCGAAACGACCAAGGCATGTACCAGTGCATCGTGGGAAACGATATTGAAATGACACAAGCCACAGGACAGTTGCTTTTAGGTGGTAAGTTGTTATACAAAGTAATTTCCTTTTGACCCTTGGGTTCTCTGGGATGAGCCAAAGTTGTCTCATACGTTAACTACCCAGTGTGGACTATGAAAATCATCTAATACTGTAATAAATGTTATGCGATAGAAACAAGAATTATCCTTATCGCATATCTTATTGGGCATAATATATGATTATCAATATTATGCAATATGGAATTAACAATAATATATAATACAAAATCATCAAATATATGAGAACATTTTTATTATTCCCGCCGTTAAAGATATTTGAAAGATAACAGAAGACAAAACTGAATCAATAGTAAAAAATAGTAAAAAAAAATAGTAAAAAAGAATAGTAAAAAATAATAAAAAAATAAAAAACAGTAAAAAAATAAAAGAAAAATACTATTTTTTACTATTTTTTAAAAAATATTAGAAAAAAATAGTAAATATATAGTTCAAAATAGTAAAAAAATAGTAGAAAAACAGTAAAGAAAAAGTAAAAAATAACAGAAAAATAGTAGAAAAAATAGTAAAAACATAAAAAACAGTAAACAAAAAATAGCAAAAAATGTAAAAAAAATAATAGAAGAATAATAGAAAAATAGTAAAAAATATTGTAAAAAATTGTAAAACAAAAATTTAGTACAAAAATACAAAAAAATATTAAAAAATAGTAGGAAAAATAGTAAAAAAATAATAGAAAATTTACTATTTTTTAAATTATTAGAAAAAAATAGTAAAAAATATAGTAAAAAACATAGTAAAGAAAAAGTAAAAAATAGAAAAAATAGTAGAAAAATTAGAAAAAACATAGTAAAAAATAGTGAACGAAAAATAATAAAAAAATAATAGAAAATAATAGAAAAAATAATTAAAAAATGGTAAAAAATAGTACAAAAATACAAAATAATGGTAAAAAATAGTAGAAAAAATAATAAAAATATAGTAGAAAAACAGTAAAAATAGGAAAAATAGTAAAAAAAAATTTTTAAATAATGATAAAAAATAGTAAAATAAAATAAAAAGTAAACAAAACGAAATAAGGTTACAACTCGAAACGCTTTCCCTACAAATTTGAAAATACGTCCTCATCTATAAAAATGTTGTGTTACATATTTTACAATCAATAAATAAGAAAAGGTTAAAAGAATAAAATTATCGGCAAATATTAAAAATGTTTGAATGATAAATAACAGAGAAAGAAATCTACGATACTGGGCCAATAGTCAAAGATAAACAAAACAAACATTACGAATCGAAATGCTCTTCCTACAATTTCGAAAATTACGTCCACTTTCTTAAAAAGAGAAATGTTACGATTAAATATTATAGAGTAGAATTATTCATGCCAATGTGTGAGCAATTGAACCAAAAATGTTGTTAATATAATAATTCTTAATGATAATAAACATTCTTAATAGAGTAAATGAATTTAACCAACCCGACAACAATTCAAACTCGGCTCTCCGAAATCTGTTTCCGAACCGCTATACATTACATCGCACATCCGACTGTAAACATTGTAAATAATACTCGTATTAATTTGTATCTCCTCGCAATTTGTTTTCTTTATGTTTTCTTAATTAGAAATGATTTTGTTCTTTCATATTTTCTTCTCGATGAATAAGCGACCCATAAAATTGAAAAACAGGGTCAAACCTAAATAATGAATGATGAATTGTAAACATTGCTTGATATATTTATATCATTTATATTATTCGGACTGTTGTCCTCATCTTTATTGCCATATTCACGACGTTTCGGCTGTTGTAAGCTCCCACCTTCTTCAGATGATTGGAATTTCTAACTGAGCCCTTTATTTCGTCTCCCGAGGTAGCTTGTTCAAAGCCACATAGCCCAGCGGATAAAAGCGTTGGTTGGATCCAGTGACTTGACCTAAAGAGTTTTGAGTTCAATACCTGGTGAACAAAGACTTGGAGAGTTGAGTTAAAGGGAGATTACTGAGATATCTTGAAGAGACATGGCATGTGGAACTAGAACAATCTACCCTGGTGAACGAAACAAAATATTCAGTTTAAAATTCCAATCACCGGAAGAAGGCCGGAGCGTACAACGGCCGAAATGTGGTGAATATGGCAATAAAAATGAGGCCAATATTCCGAACAATGTAATTAATTACAATACATCATATAGATAGATTTTATCTGATTTTTCGTTCACGTCTTTCATTTCAGCTGCCCACCCGGCCTTTTTGGAGACGTTCGAAGAGGTATATATCAACCCAGGTTCCAATGTGACATTTCGCTGTTCTGTGTCTGGTAACCCGACCCCAACGATTCGGTGGACATTAGACAATGAGATAATTGAATCTAATGGTCACATGACCGTCACTACATACACAACAGAACAAGGTGACGTCATCAGCTCCTTAGTTATCACCAATATCCAGGTTCAAACTGGGGGAGAGTATCGTTGTATTGGCTCGAATGAAGTCGGTGAAGTAAGACACATGGCACGGGCTAATATCTATGGTGAGTAATTATTATTATTATTATTATTATTATTATTTCTTTTGATTTCCGCTGTATATACGTTTCCTTCCGAGTTCCGAACTAAGGTCAGAAATGACATCATGATATTTTCTAGTTAACATTTTTGTAAAATAGAGATAAATCAACCTAAGAACATACAGATTTTACATAGACAAAATCTTTCGAACGATTTTTTTTTCTTTCTTTAAGGCATGGGTTGTCATGGATTCCTTCAATTAACCTAGGGCCCCAATCACAATTGGAATTATCAATGTTTTTATGTGCCACATTTTTTTAGATTTCTACCTCAAGATCCTTGTATTTTGATAGTTTTTTTCTTCAAAGATACATTAAAATCTGCAAGGAGTGACTTGTCGATAAAGAAGCAAATAGTCTTTTTGTTGCTTTGATCCCGATGTCTAGGTGATTAGCTTCAATTTTTCTGTATTGTAAAGTCCCATAAAATTATTACAGGTCTGTAACTGTGTCTGGGTAGTGTTAATAGTAACTTTGTGCAGTTTTATTATCGTAAAATTTTCAGACTTTCAAGTGCAGATGTCGGCTAATTCTGTCATACCATGTTTTATATCCAGTGGATGATAATACCGTATAACCTGATACAAGATTGTCAATTTGTTATAGTGGAACACACCTATTCTATAGTTAATAGACTCTCCAACCTATAATATGTAAGAGTAACAAGGCAGTAGCTCAGTGGGTCGCTCAGTCAGTTGGTCAGTCAGTCGATGCCGGACGACCGTTAGTCGAATACTAAAAGTATCAGCGACCACAACAAGATTACTCTGCGTAATACCTCTTATACCAAGTTCCTAACGTTTTGTACGTCGAACCTATTTTAGGACCGACTTAGTACAAATACAAGCCTTCGCTGTGAAATCACGCCACAACACAATTATTTCTGGATATTCATCACCGAATCTGCGTTTGGGGACAACGCAATTTTTTAGTATGTTCGCTTGTTAATTCTTAGTTAGCAAGCATTGGTCATGTCGAGCAAGAACAAAATCTTCGATTTCAGTTTTTAATATTGGACTACGCAATCAAAATACATTTAAAACAACAACAAAAAAAGAAGCAGTTCACGACATAAAAAAGAGGGGTAACAAAAAATATATATTACCGTAATTTGGTAATACTGAAATGTAAAATTTATCGTTTTTCTCTTATCAAAGCAAAAAATCGAGGACAAACAAAAAAAATGCGAGTAAAATTATACAAACTCAAGATTAATGCCATATGCATACAAAAAGCATAACATTAAAGGCTAATTACCTTTAAGCTAATTACTCTTCTTTCAAAAGCAATTAGCCTCGAGTTACCTGTGTTATCCGTTTTAATTCTTCCTGCTGATGAAAGTTGTCAAATTATGCGATTTCTATTATTTGTCACAGTTGAGTGTGATTCTGTAGCACCAGTGAACGAGATCCTATGAACAATGGTTCTAATATCTTGTCTCATATATTCAGATTCAGGGTGAGATGGATAAATTGACCTCTAAATTACACTAAAAAAGAAAATACCTCTGGCATCTCATTTTAACAGATATATTTACCAAAACTACACGAAAATATCTTGAAATATGAAAGAGTAAAGCTATTCAATAAACTCCCATTGGCTTCAACTACGGCCTCCAGCGTACATCGGAATCTCTTGCAGTTCTTCTGGACGGTCGCCTTGTTTAAGGTCGTGAATGCTACCATAACCCTTGCATTCATCTTTGGTGTTGCAATGAGTTTTGTTGCTTTCTCGTTCGACACCGCCCCACACATAACAATTAAGGGGATTGCAATATGGGAAGTTAGGTGACCAGATGTAAGGAGTGATGAGGTCGTAGAAATTGTCTGACAGCTATAACTGGGTTCCCCTATTGCCAAAAGTAGGTTCTTTCAGAAGCCACCCTATTGACCCAGGACAGCACTACCTCCTCAACGTACTTGAGGTACGGCTCCCTAAGACCCTCACCAATAAATTCGGGAGTTTTTTTTTTCTTATGAGAACGATCAGAGTGAGTTTTCCGAGCTGCTGTACATTCATAATCACCATTAGACTCATCCAACTCTTTCTGAATCCTCTGCATTTTTCTCCGATTGACTCCCGAACACAATGAAATATTCGTATTAGACTTTCCGGTGAGAATTTCAAGCAGTATAATATGCAGTTTCCAAATTTCTGGTGGAGGGAATTGTGTCATGCTCCTCTTTTTCTTACAGACGGTGACCAATTGAACCGAGCAGTTGACAAAAGAAAAACAATGAACGCGCTTGCTCTAATTATATATATATATATATATATATATATATATATATATATATATATAATATATATATATATGTAAATATATATATATATATATATATATATATATATATATATATATATATATATATATATATATATATATATATATATATATATATATATATATATATATATATATATATATATATATATATATATATCATTTACACATATATATATATATATATTATCATTTACACATTATATATATATATATATATATATATATATATATATATTATTTATTATATATATATATATATATATATATATATATATATATATATATATATATATATATATATATATATATCCTGCAACTCTTCTAGACATTCTCTTTGTATAAGTCAGTTAATGCATCCATAATCCTTGCCTTTAGTTCATCTTTTGGTGTTACAAGGAGTTTTGTTGGTCTCTTGCTCAACTGCGTCTGCAGTCTGCGGTGTTAAGTTGCCAGATGTAAGGGGTGATGTGATCATAGATATTGTCTGACAGCCATGACTGGTTTCTTCTACTTGTGTGGCGTGGTGCAGAGTTTTGTTTCCATGGACGAAAGACGATTTAAGGGAAATCAGAACGAAAAGAACAAGTGTACTTAGAAACAATTTGAATTTTTTCGAACACATGATGAGGAATGAGGGCTTGGGGTATTTGACACTCACAGGGCTTATTGAAGGCAAGGTAGACAGAAGGAATCAGCAAGTGACCTAACCCTCAAGTTTTCAATGGCCGATCAGCGAATGCGAGGGATAGTAAAAATCACAAATGTTGCTAAGATATACAAGGTATAGGAAGCTGTGGATGGCTATGAGAGACCGTGCTCTTAAGGTACATAACATATAAAAAAACGGCTGGCAAAATTGTTCTAAACTAATTCTATCTAAAACCGTCACTTTTCTGAGCCCATTTTCTTTTGCCAACGTTTCAGGGAATTTCTTTTTTCTTCTTCTTCTTTTTACTTCGCCTCTGTTATACGAGAAATGGTGTTAAGATGAAAATTAACTGGGTTCGCCCTTTTTTTTTTTTTTTTTTTTACTTATAGGCAATTTCTAAATAATATTTCTGTCAAAATAACAAAGCAATATCGTCGTTTTCCCTTCTTTAAAAGTCGACATTAATATTCGCCATTTTGGAAGATTTTTTTTTTTTTTTTTTTTCATAATCGGCTTTTCCTCTCATTCTGCCACTTCTTTCTGGGTTTTTTTTTCCTCTGTGGATTTCTTCACTCTTTCTTTCCCCGTAATTTTTTCTTATTGTCTTTCTTTCGATCCTTCTTTCTTCCTTTCTTTTTGTCGCTTTTACTTTCTTTCATTCTACTTCTTATCTTTCTTTCCTTATGGCGTTATGTTTATTTCTGAGTAATGATTTCTTTTTTCTTTTTTTTCATTTTCTTTCCTTTCTTTCGTTTTCTTTATTCGTCTTTTCTCATTTCTTCTTTTATTATCCATTTATCTTTCTTTTCATTTTACTTTTCTATTTTTCTTTCTTGATTTATGGTAATTCGTTCGTTCTTTTGATCTCTTTCATTTTTATCTTTTAATTAATTTCCTTTCTTTTTTCCATTTTTCTTTTCTTTTTTCCACTTCGTTTTCTTTCTTACTTTCTTTCTTGTTTCTACTTCGTTTTCTTTCTTTCTTTTTTCTTCTCTTTCTTTTTTCTACTTCGTTTTCTTTCTTACTTTCTTTCTTTTTTCTACTTCGTTTTCTTTCTTACTTTCTTTCTTTTTTCTACTTCGTTTTCTTTCTTTCTTTTTTCTTCTTTTTCTTTTTTCTACTTCGTTTTCTTTCTTACTTTCTTTCTTTTTTCTTCTCTCTCTTTTTTCATTATATATATTTGTTAACCCTTTCCTTATTTCTTGTATTTTTTATCATTCTTGTCTTCTATTCCTTCCTTTTTATTTCTTTTTCTTTACTTATTTATGAAATTCTTTTTAAACATTTTTTTTATTTCTGTCTGTTTCTTTCTTCCTTCTTCCATTTCCTTTGCATTTCTTTTTTCACGCACATTCTCTAATTCTGCTAGTCACCAGAAGAAGGTTGTAATGAAACGTTCTAGTCCTATGAACCTGTTTGTAGCCGATCAATATTGCAACAACAAAAAACTTTCAATTCAAAAGTCTTACTAAAAGCTGTGACAATTCATACATCCTAACTTTCAATTGAGCGGAAGTGGTAGGAGATAACGTCATGCTAGAAGTTAAAATAATCTTTATTCAAATATGTAACATTTTCAAATTTTATGTCTGTATTTCCGGGATGAGCAGTTATCATTATTTATATTCGGTCTAATGTTGCTATCTTTATTATTATTATTATTATTATTATTATTATTATTATTACAAATACTGGCCGTTGTGCTCTCTGGTCTTCTTCAAGTGTCTGTCAATTCAGGTAATGTTCTTGTTAATTTCAAAATGAATGATTAATTTAATTAAACCGGGGTAAATTACTCTCGAACTGCTATCAGTGTCTACAGATATTATAATATTCAGTTACTGTTCGCCTTTTTCCCACTGAACTCTTTATTTTAATGAAAGATTCATTCCATTCTTTTAAATTTACACGGTTCTATACAAATCCGATGAAAGGCGAAGAGCACAATGGTCTAAGTGTTTTGTTAATAGCGATAAAATAATTCTGAATGTAAATAATTTTTATCTTTCATTTTATCTGAGATGAGGTATTATGTACATTAGTTACATTATTCGGACAATTCTCCTTATCGTTGTCGCTATATTTATTACAACGTTTCGGCCGTTGTACGCTCCGGCCTTCTTCATGGAATGTCGAACTGAACCTTTTATTTCACTCACTCGGGTAGACTGTTCTAGTTCCATGGACTATGTCTAATAGATGTCAGTTATCAGTTACCTCCTGTTAATTCTCCTCTTCAAGTTCTCCATCGCCTTAACCGGGTATTGAACTCACACTCTTTGGGTCCTGTAACTGGATCTAACTAAGGCCTTTATCCACTGTGCCATGTGTCCTTGAGAATTGCATGAATTTCTGGGTATTATAATCCTAATGTCTTCAGCAATCATTTTTTACCAGTGCTCATATTGCAATTTTTGCTGTTATCATTGCATGTTTTTATCATTCTTTTCTATTCTGACTTATGTGTTTCGTTTCTATCTTTTTTCATTTTTTATATTTATCATCCATTTTTACTGAACTTCCTTTTTCGTAATTTTTAAAAATTTTCTAAAAATTTGGCGATTTTGTTTTTCTAAATTAGACTTTCCTGTCAACTCTTAAATTTAGTCACATTTTCATTCTTTTTATTTTTATTTGATTTAAATATTTTTTGTTTTTTCTTCATTTACCTATCGCCCGGTTCCCACTCCTTCCTCTTCTTGTGAACAAGAGTAGAGGTTTATCCTTTTTTCTCTGTTTAGGAATAAGTTTCTAGTTCCTTCTAAAGTATTTTTTCTTCTCTTTCTCTCTCAGTACCCCCCGCCACTTGAGTGTTAGTGTCATTATCGCCTTGCTTGAGGTGAAATGATTAGAAAAAATTAAATATTTCTTACCATCTGTTTTTCCCTATTCGTTTGTTTTTTTTTTTTTTTTTGTTTTTTTTATGGCATATCAACCTCAATGGTTTATTTAATGCCGACAAGATTTTTATTGCTGGTAATATATACTTTTTTTTTCAAAAATGTATTGTGGGTAATATTTTTTTTCTCCAAAAATTAATTTCTGCTAATAATTTTACAAAAATGTATTGCTGGTATTAAAACGTATTTTTCCACTTTCATAGTGTTTTCGCCCCAGTTTGGGTGTTAACTATTTGCCCATAGCTGGGACCCTAACAGGTGCTACAACCACTTTCTGTTTAATGTCGTTTATCGTCTTAGCCAGGACGTAGTTTTTTCTTTCCCCAACATAATTTTCACTTCGATTCTATCTCCAAATCATTCTTTTTATATTTAGTTTTACCTTCTGTTGTCTGTTTTTTTATTTTTTTTTATTTCGTCTTTCTTTCAATTGATTCCTACATTTCACTTCCTTTATTCTTCTTTTCTCGTCTTCCCCCGCCTTCTTTTCAATTTTTGGCAGTTCACTTATTGTCAGGACTTTTCCGATTTTCCAGACACGCACGAAAGAATGTCCGTTTTGCAAACATCGTAAAATGAAAGGGGCACAGCAGTTAATAGAACAGCGAGATTCTTACAGCCATTTCTCATTGACTGGACACGAGAAACATTTCTCCACACGAAGTTCACAAAGTACCCATTAACAGACATTAAAAAAAGAACCAAAATGGCTGACAGTCATATAAAAAGACTCCGTTAAACAAAAAGAAAAATACAATTCTTGGCCAGTGCGTATAGATCATAAAGTGAGGGAAAATAAATTATTCAGCTGTTTATGAGGGATAACGTTCACATATACCGCGTGAATAAATAAATAATATAAGTGTTAAAATACGTATTTTCACATCGAATAGTCACGTGATACAAGAGAATATAACCTTTAAAAAAATCTCTCTTCCTTTACGGGCCTGCAAAAGGGCGAACATCGTATGATAAAGTATTTAGATAGAACTTAAACTCGGCAATTTGCCTTCTCCCTAATTTTAGCACAAGCATATACGCACACTTTACACACATTAAAACCTTTTTTTATGTTAGTGATACTAAAATATGGCCTCTGTAGAAAGAAATATGGCCTCTGTAGAAAGAAATATGGCTTCTATATTTCTATCTGAAATATGAAGGAAGACTAAAACAAAAAGCAAGCGTGTCTATAGTTACACTTGTCGTTGGTTTTTCCTTTATATTTCAAGTTTCTTCTTTTTATTTCATTGAACATATTTACTACGTGTTTTCTTGACAGAAATACGTCAAAATATTTAAGTAAAAAACAACGTCAAAATATTATACGAATAATTAAAATGACCCTCAAAGATTGGTTTCCTGAAAACAAAGAAATCTGGTAAATAAGATTTTTAAAATGTTATCAATAACTTACCTGAACAGCTGTCAGGCTTGCACTTAGAATGTTAAAAATGAATATAGTAATTATGTTCTCGTATTTTTATATTTATTTTTACTCTCCTACCGATACATGTCTTGCAGTAATAGAAGAGTTGTCCTCATCAATAGCCAGTCATCCTCTTCGTTAACCATAGGTTTGGTTTGTTTTGTTTTACGGCATATCAACACCTCAATGGGTTATTTAATGCCGACAAGATTTGTATTGCTGGTTATATTTTCTTTCTTTCTTTCTTTCTTTCTTTCTTTCTTTCTTTCTATCTATCTATCTCGGTATATATTGGTTTGGTTTGTTTTGCTTTACGGCATATCAACACCTCAATGGGTTATTTAATGCCGACAAGATTTTTATTGTTAGTTATATTTTCTATCTATCTATCTATCTATCTATCTATCTATCTATCTCAGTATATATTGGCTTGGTTTGTTTTGTTTTACGGCAAATCAGCCTCAGTGGGTTATTTAATGCCGACAAAATTTTTTATTGCTGGTTATATTTTCTTTCTATCTATCTATCTATCTATCTATCTATCTATCTATCTATCTATCTATCTCAATATATTGATTTGGTTTGGTTTGTTTTACGGCATATCAACACCTCAATGGGTAATTTAATGCCGATAAGATTTTTATTGCTGGTTATCTATCTATCTATCTATCTATCTATCTCAGTATATATTGGTTTGGTTTGTTTTGTTTTACGGCATATCAGCCTCAATGGGTTATTTCATGTCGAAAAAATTTTTATTGCTGGTAATTATCAAAAATCTATTTCTGGTAATATTTTTCCTTCAAATATTTGTTGCTGGTAATATTTTTTTCTTCAAGAATTTATTGCTGGTAATTTTTTTTACTAAGTATTTCTGGTATTAAAACCTATTTTTTTACACTTTCATAGTGTTTTTACCCCAGTTTGGGTGTTAACTATTTACCTATAGCTGGGACCCTAACACGTGCTACCACCCCAGGTCAGGGTGGACCTGGGAACACCAGCAATTAAGAGGTGGTTCCACAAAAATCTTCTGATCAGAGGTCTTCCTGTTGGACATAGTTTATCGTCTTACCCAGGACGCGGATGTAGTTTATCGTCATACCCAGGACGACCGTTAACCACAGCAGTGCGAAGATCTTAAGACATGCCAGTAATGAGACTCTTTAATCGGTTATTTAACGAGTTTGTTTTTATGACATTTCCATAGCTGGAAATAGCCGATCATAAGTCGATCCAGAATGATTTCTGCCAATTGCAACGCCTTCATGGGCAATATAGTCAAGGTCATTTACCGTTACATTCAGTTTAGAATTCAGATTTTTCTTTCTATTAGATTGGTTTACAACAAAGATCAGATAGCCCAGACTACCGTCAACCCTGATATTTAATCCGTAGCCGAAGGAAGAAAAGACGGGTTGTTGCCTTTTCCAAAGGCATTAGTAAGACGAACATATGCATCTTTCAAGTGTCGGTGTCGATTTGGGGGAAGAGGAGCTTTACGTTCAAGTTCCCTTTTCAGCGACATGGTCTGAAGATTGCGCTGAAGCATGAGATAAACTGTCGCCGCTTGGCGTTGATTTTTTCATTTATATATATTTATTTTATTATTATTTATTTTATATTATTATTTTATTTTATTACAGACATTTATTAAATTACAAAATTAAATTCGAAGCTTTCAGCTTCAATTTTTGAAACATGGTTAGAACTGTGTAGCGAAAAAAAACATATTTTAAATCAATCAATTTATAATATTAATCCTCTGTAAATTTACATTGAGCACTATTTTTGTAAAAATAAAAATATCTATAAGAACACCGGATTATATATCTTACTGTTCTTTTCTTTTTATTTATATATATATATATATATATATATATATATATATATATATATATATATATATATATATATATATGGGGGGTATTTTAAGACACTTTTATGTTTATACATTCTTTTTTTTATAGATACAAATATTTTTAAAAATTTTTAAATATTTTTTAATATTTTTGGGATTAAAATAATTGTCGGACTTTGTCCATTTCATAATGTGTGACGTCATTTGTTTGCATTTGGATACGCATCGAGCAGATATGAATGTACGTGAGAAAATCATGGAAAATTGTAGTTTAAAAACAGTAAAATCGATATTGCTAACCGAAACGCTCCTCGGTGGCGAAATCGGTAAAATCACGTCAGGCTATATAAAATTCAGTAAATTTAAAAATACGTTATTCCAAAATTCGCTTGAAGATGAAACAGAACTAATGCTTTTAATTTAATTATATAACTAAATTTGAAGTTTTTGAAACATGGTTATTACTGTGTAGCGAAAAAAACATATTTTAAATCAGTTAATTTATAATACTTATGGTCTGTAAATTTACATTGAGCACTCTTTTTGTAAAATAAAAAAATATCAATAAGAACACCGGATTATATATCTTACTGTTCTTTTATATATATATATATATATATATATATATATATATATATATATATATATATATCAGGTTGCATGAAGAAATACAAACGCCGGTTAATCATTACATGAAAAACACTAATGATACATGTAGGCTTACCTTTAAATCCAGAATTTTAATTTTTGGGACGTGTTGTGTGTTTATACGTATAACTTAACCGACTTATTTGCTCATTGACCCTACAATCACGACCGGTCATGTTTCTGATGAGGATGTTAATGATAATCTCTAACTTTCAAAAAACAGTGTTGAGAAGACTTACGCAGACCTAATACGCAAAATCAGAAAGCACTTATCACTTTGATGGTGTGTCAGAAAACTGTTTTATGTTCACAACTAATTAATGACCTCTTTTCAGTAATTTGAATGTTATCAAATTATCTTCAATTTTCAATTTATTTGATTTTTAATGTTTTTACAGGTGTTCCCTATGTCCGAGTCCTGCAAAATATTACAGCCACGGCGAATCAACCATTGGTTATAAAATGCTACGTTTCCGGATATCCGATTGGATCAGTCACATGGTTCAAAGGTTCGTTATTGTTATTTTTTCCTGATAAATTTCTCCGCCATTAAATTATGTTATATTTTCTTATAAAATTTTTTTTTTTTCATAATAATATTTGCATCACCCAGCCAAAGTTGAAAAAGGAATCAAGATATATTTATACGAACAAAATATCGCGTTTGTTTCAATTTATAGCACCTATCCTGTTTGGAGACTTGAGCGCTTATTGCGTAAAACGAACGAAGCACATCAAAAATTCTCCTTTATAAATAAATCCAAATTGTATAGCTGGCCACTTGTATTCGAGGATACCAGTCTAATATGGCGGCTAGCCAATCCCTATTACAGACGCTTGCTCAGGTGTATTTGTATTTATTCAACACCCACAGAGCCCACCTGTGGTTTATACCTCAGTTATGATTAGTTGCAGTTTCTGGGAAAGAGCGTGTGATCAACAATTTAAACAAAGCCAGCACGCTCACGATGTGACTTCATGATAGCACAGCTATCGACGTTCTGTCTACCCAATTTCACTCACAAGGTTGGGATCAAGTCGTGGTATGGTTTTCAGGCAATTTCCAAAAGGAAACGTCCAATAACATCTGACAAATCGAGATTCGAGCCCGGGTCTTACGGCCAGAATGCGAACGTCCTAACCGTTCGGCCACGTGCCCATGAATCCAAATTGTATAGGCCATAAAAACATACATTTGCTCAACATGTCTACTCTGCCTACATCAATAAAGTTTTTCATTGTGTTTCTCATATAGGCTCACTGATATTGCATTAACCTTTCCTCATTTTCTTGATATTTCTTCGGTTTCCACATTACGATAGCAATCTTGAAAACATCATCCAAATTACTGTTTTTAAACGCACAACCTTCGACGATAACAGAGATTTGGTCTTTGCTAACCAGATGCTTCTCTGTATCAAAATTGCATAGCACGTCAGATCAAATGACGCTTTCCGTATAGGAATACAGGTTCGATTCCTGTTGGAGAACGATTATTCTCTATGAAATTTCTTTAAAATTTAGACCGGTAAATGTAATTAATATTCTTTTATTAAAAAGAGAGCATTTACAAAAATTGATTCGAGAACTGAAATTGTATCTATAAAAATAATACATTTCATATGTATATGGTGGACTCTCCCGTCGTATTCGACGTATGAGGGTCAAGCAGCTCAGTTCCTAGGAACTGACGGCCCAGACATAAGCACATATGATTTGATTGTAGTGGTGAAAGCTTTGAGTAGAACCAAGCACACGTTTTGAAGGACCGAATAGAGAGACCTGGTGCAATACATGCCAGAGGTTCCCCAAACAACCCTCGGCAGTTTTGAATTCAGAGTTGTCCTTCGCCTAGACCAGTTGCCATCCAAGGCTATAGAACCCAGTCTCTCTTTCTATTTACCTATAGCTGGTGGGGGGGAGAAGAGGATTCATAACTTTCCGAAGGGTATGAGCACGTAAGTGAATGTAATGGATTTGACTAGAATCCTAACAATCCGAGCCGCTATCTCCTCAATACACACACACACACACACACACATATATATATATATATATATATATATATATATATATATAGGTTGCGATGGGTAAATTGGCGCCATTCTATATTTTTAATTTTGCGCATGCGCCTTGTTTGTGCCTGATGTGGTCGACTGCACAGTATAGTAAGGCCATTTGGGCATCATCTGCAAAGAAAAAGAGCATTATGATGCAATTCACACCGCCAGAAATTTATAAACGGCATGTTGTTTTGCTTGGCATTTGCGCCAGAAGCTCCTATACGAACATTTCAGAGTGTTACGGTGTCAATCTGAGGACAGTGTAAAGGATTAGGTAAGAGTTGTATGAGTCTAATGATGATTACGAAGGTACACCAGCTCGGAAAACTCACTCTGATCATTCAGATAAGAAAAGAGCTCCCGAATGTGTTGGTGAGGGCCTCAGACTCAATACGGAGTCCCACATCAAGTGACTTGAGGAGGTAGTGCTGTCCTGGGGTCAAGAGAATGACTTCTGGAAGACCCTATATCTGGCAACAGGACTCTGCACCATACCTCACAAGACTCCAGTCATAGCTGTCAGACAATTTCTGCAGCCACATCACCCTTTATATCTAGCCACCTAACTACCCAGACTTGATTATTATGTGTGGGGAGCTGTTTAGCGAGATACCAACAAAACTCATTGCAACACCAAAGATGAAATGAAGGCAAGGATTATGACAACATTCGCCAACTTAAAAAAAGGAGACCGCCCAGAAAAGATGCAGGAAATACTGAATTCGTCTGGAGGCCGGGGTTGAAGCCAATGGCGATTTTATTAAATACGTTTACTGTTTGTTATTTCAAGACATGTTTGCGTAATTCAGATGACAATTTATCTATCGCACGCTATATATATATATATATATATATATATATATATATATATATATATATATATACAGTGGAACCTCGGTTCACGAATTTAATTCCTTCCTGAAGGCCGTAACCCGAAATGTTCGTAAACCGAAATTATTTTTCCAATAGGAATCAATGCAGAGAAAAAAAGTCACAGTACAATAAAATTGGAAAAGAAAAGCACGCCACAACACAAAATGTGTATAATACGACGGTCGACTCAGAAGTCATTCCGTTCGGTTTAACTTGGTTTGGCAATGTTGTTCGATATGTGAGACGTCCGAGAACCGAGGTTGCATTATATATATATATATATATATATATATATATATATATATATATTAATGTATGTTTCATTAAATAATATTGAAAAGTTTTGTCGATTTATTTTAATTAAATTCTTTTCATATTGTCGAATAAGCTTTTTAGCATTATCACAGAAACACGAATCAGTGATAATTCTAGAATGCTTATATATATATATATTCTTTATACCATTTATCGAGAAGACATAAAACCTGTATAAATGCAACATACGTCAAATCAATTTGTCAAAAATATAATCACAATCATTTTTGCATCAAGATTCGACACGCAAAAGCAATAAAGTTATTACTAAACCAACAGAACGCTTTTAAGATTATTTTGCCATTGTAAAAAAAATATGCTGCTATAAAATTTGTAATCATCCGAACATTTTCCTCGGAAATAAATATCCTGTTGTATTCAATGTACATAATATCAACGTAAATCTCTTCAAGAATTTTAACGTTATTATTAGCAGCTCGCAATGATACCCAACATTGCCCGGACTCAGTACCTTTACGGTGGTCCACAGCGATGCACAGTTCATTTAGAGTGGGAAACAGTTACTCAATACTCAGATACTTTATTTCACTCACTGGAGTAGATTGTTCTGGTTCCACATGCCATGTTTAATGGATGCCAGTTATCAGGACTAATGGCACAGTGGATAAATGCGTTGGTTAGATGCAGTGACAGGACCCAAAGAATGTGAGTTCAATACCCGGTTAAGGCAGTGGAGGACTTGCAGAGGGGAATTAACAGGAGATAACTGACATCCATTAAACGTGGAACTAGAACAGTCTACCCCAGTGAGTGAAACAAAGGGTTCAGTTCGACATTCCAACCAACTGAAGAAGGCTGGAGCGTACAACGGCCGAAACGTTGTAATAGATATGGCGACAAAGATGAGGACAATAGTCCGAATAATGTAAATAGTGTACATAATACCTCATCTCAGAAATATATATATATATATATATATATACATGCAAACTCGTAGAATAATGTAAATAAGAGGAATGATGTTACATAAAATTTCAGTACTCTTTTCCTTGTTTCTCTTGCCTTCAATATATGCCGGGGGTGTCAAATTTTCTAAGTCCTCCTTCCTTATTATGTAACCTAGAAATTACCACTGTCTCTTTCTGGTGCTAAAGATATGTGTCCTTTTTGTTTCCATTTTCTCTAGAACTTTGTCATTGCTCACATGTTTTATCCATGATATCCTCAGTATCCTTCTGTCGTTCTACATCTGTGAGGACATTATCCAGCATTTACTTCCATTGAAACATCGAAATAACAGTTCATTACTCTTTTCTTTCTTTATAATTAAATTCTCTCGTTTCTTAATACACTGGAACCTCGGTTTTCGAACGTCTCATATGTCTCACAAATCGGTTTTCGAACAGAAAATTCGAGATGAAAATGCCTCGGTTATCGAACAAAAATTTCGATTCTCGAACAACATTGCTGAAGAACCGAGCCGAACCGACTTTAACCCGAACGGAATAATTTCTTCGTCGACCAAATGACGTATAAATTTGTATGTTGTGCTGTGATTTTTTTTCCAATTTTATTGTACTGTGACTTTTTTTCTCTACATTAATTCCTATTGGAAAATGGTTTCGGTTTACGAACATTTCGGGTTACGAACGGCCTTCAAGAACGACTTAAATTCGTGAACCAAGGTTCCCCTTTTTTTTACCTGTTTTGGGAGGCATTTTTCGCTATCCCAATACGTCTACGGATTTCAATGTCGCGTTTTCCGTTAAAACACACCCCAGATAATTAATTTCGGCCGGTAATTTGATCAGGTCCGCGGTTGAGCCGGGGTCCATCGCCCGGGACGCAGAGATTAAAAAAAATAGTTAAAATTTTCTTCTCTTGCTGATAGAATTTTTTTTACTTCTGTGGCATTGGAGACTTCAGGGGTTATTGGCCCTCGTTCGATGGCGTTCCTTCGGAGGATTGGCGCGATTGGGTCTCGATTAAGGGACGAGCCTCGTGAAACGGAGTGGCCCTTGCGGCGTGTCTCACTGGCCATGGTTCGAGGTAATGATTTCTCCATCATTGCGGCTGGCAGAGGATAGAAAAAAAATTGTTTATAATTTCTGGAATTGTCATCAATGGTCAACTGAATTTGCGTTGTTTCAATAAATTCGCTTCTATTAAAAAATAAACAAAATATTTTTAGAATTATTACAAATATTCACAAAAATAACACACATCATGTCGCATATTGGGCTGTTCCTTTCGCTAATAACATTATGTCTTCATACAATTGATGTTTAGTCCATTTT